CTTAACATCCAAGCAGGAACGTAAGTTTTGGCTGCGAATGTCCGCAAACAAACCAAAGTGTTTCTGCAAAAGCAGGGTTAAGACAAAACCCTTGCAACACCGCGCAACATCTTTAAGTCCGCAAACGTTTCGAACACGAAGCACGACATATGAAATAAAATAAAATAAACAATCTTCGGCATTGCGAGACGTCGCAGACCCCCGAAGGACAGTTTTTTTATACAAATAGCTTCCTCGATAAAGTCAATTTCTTGGAAGACGTAACAGTCTGTTCGCGACTATAAAATACGCAAAATTTCTCAACATACGTATCCTTCTCGAAGGCCCCAAACAACGTAAACATCTATCACCTAAAAAGTTTGTTGCTGATCACAACAAACTCGCAACAGTCGTAAACAAACTTAAGTTATCTCGCAGAGATAGCTCTCGAACACCCGACACAAAGGTAATAGAGCTATAAAAGAAATCCAAACTTTTGGTCAGCACTTTCGGGCAACTTAGCAATTGTTCCCGGTGAGATGCTCGGTTCCAACCAGACGAATCGTATAAGCCGAGAACATATCGCGGATTCTAAATCGGTATGGAATCAGGTTAAAATCGCAACAGGCAAAACGAAAGCCGACTAGTCATCGCATAGCCTCAATCCATAAGTAAACCTAGGTCTTGCCCTAAACCCAGCACACTGGTCTCTAACGTCTCAAGGCATGAATCGAGATCCTAAAGGCATGTCTCTTCGTCTATGTCTAAACGCTCACTCGATTTACTAAACATCCTAAAACGAGCAAACGAATAAGGTGATCCACAAAGGAAAAGGAATGCGATTTGACAACTCGCGGACCTCCCTCAATATCTGTGGGAACCGAGATTCACACCTGTCGATTTCCGTAAAATAAGGAAAGTTAGGAAAACCTTAATTTTCCAGAGGAACCGGATATCTGCGAAAGCCAACGACAAGTAACCAAGAACGCGATTAATATGAATAAATTGAAAGATATAAATAGAAAAACGAGATTGAGAGCAAGAAGGATTCTTATTCCGAATTCGCGTAAGAACGGTTACAACGAGATTTGCCTTAGCTGCGTGAGCTGTCGGCCAAATTCCTAGTTCTAGCAATCTAAGACTAAAACCCTAGTTGAGACGCAACTCGATAACGAAAACGGAAATATTCCTAAATTCTAAGTTTGGTGGTGAAAGCTCTGAAAATCGTGTCCCTTGCTTCTGCCCTATACCTCTTATTTATATACTCCTCGCCTTGGCCATTCGGTCTTTCCATTTCGCCCAGATTTGAGTATATCGGAATTTTCCATTTTTCTCGATCCTTCCTTTTCTTCCGCGGAAATCTTCTATTTTTCTTCAAACCTTCCTTTTATCTTCAAACTTGACATTTATTTTCCTCCTGCGAGTAAACCGTCAAAACGTTATCGAATCTTCGGGTTAGATTCCGTTAAGATCGCGAGATGGGTTTTTATCGCGTTTTAGGACCTTCCGGGCCGTTCTGCGATAAATCCGTTTTCCAACTTTGTACGGGATCGTTTCCTGATCCGATGCCGTTTTTAATAAATTCCTCGAGCTAATCGCAAGGTTTTACGATTTACTCGACGTTTTTATTAAAACGCGTTATTATGATTTACACGAGAAGTCTCGAATAAATCGTATAGTTTAGGCAATGTTCGGTTTTGTTTAACCGTTGCCTTTTATACAATTTCCTCGAGTTCTTTGTCGAGAAAGCGAAGTTTTACGGTTTTTATCGTAAAACTTGAACGATAGGTCGGATCGAGATGGAACGGGAGACGTTTCGGCCGTGGTTCAGAATGTGACCGTGTCGAAAGACGTACGTTTCGAATCGGGAATGCGGGAGACCGAGGCTCGGGACGTCCAGGAAGTCTCTAGTTTGTCCAACGACGAACTAAGCCGGCTGGCTTAGTTCGCCCGTGGGCGAACTAGTCGGGACGGGACTAGTTCGCCTACCGGCGAACTAAGCCGAGCTGGCTTAGTTCGCCCGTGGGCGAACTAGTCGGGATGGGACTAGTTCGCCCACCGGCGAACTAAGTCGGGCTGGCTTAGTTCGCCGGTGGGCGAACTAGTCGGGACGGGACTAGTTTTCCCACCGGCGAACTAAGCCAAGCCGGCTTAGTTCGCCGGTGGGAGAACTAGTCAAGTGAGACTAGTTCGCCCACCGGCGAATTAAGCCTGCTTGGCTTAGTTCGCCGGTGGGCGAACTAGTTGCGATTTGTTCGCGTTTTGCGACTGTTTCGGTTTTTTGCGGTTTCGTGAAACGATTCTCGAGTTTTATAAATTGGCTTCTTGAGTTTTATAAAACGATCTTCGAGTCTTATAAAACGGCTTATCGAGTTTTATAAAACGATCTTCGAGTTTTATGAAACGGCTTCTCGAGTTTTATAAAACGATCTTCGAGTTTTATAAAACGATCTTCGAGTTTTATAAAACGGTTTCTCGAGTTTTATAAAACGATCTTCGAGTTTTATAAAACGGCTTCTCGAGTTTTATAAAACGGTTTCTCGAGTTTTATAAAACGATCTTCGAGTTTTATAAAACGGCTTCTCGAGTTTTATAAAACGATCGTTGAGTTTTATAAAACGGCTTCTCGAGTTTTATAAAACGATCTTCGAGTTTTATAAAACGGTTTCTCGAGTTTTATAAAACGATCTTCGAGTTTTATAAAACGGCTTCTCGAGTTTTATAAAACGATCTTCGAGTTTTATAAAACGGCTTCTTGAGTTTTATAAAATGATCCTCGAGCTTTATAAAACGATTCTCGAGTTTTACAAAATAATTCTTCGAGTTTTATAAAAGGATTCTCGAGTTTTATAAAACGATTCTTTGAGTTTTATAAATGATTCTCGAGTTTTATAAAACGATCCTAGAGTTATATAAAACGATTCTCGAGTTTTATAAAACGATCCTCGGGTTTTATAAAACGATTCTCTTATAAAATGGTCCTGGAGTTTTATAAAACGATCCTCAAGTTCTATAGAACGATTCTTCGGGTTTTACAAAATGATTCCTTTTATATTTCTGCGCGGAGTTTCGGCCGTTGATTCCGTCGTACCGATTTTGACCGCAAAAGTTAGCCCCCCAGCTCGTAAGAATCTTAAGCCTTTAGCGTAAGGTTCTTGCGAGTGGTTAACCAGTTTTAGTTAAGTTAGGCGGAATTAATGGTTGGAAAGGTCCATTGAAAGTGATCTTTCCACTCTCCAGGGAGCGGACAGCGTTTAAGATTAGGGCTGCGCCTTGTGAAGGCTGGCTACGTACCCTTTTGAGGGGATCAAGCCTTTCGTAGTTTGTTTCGGAGTTAAGGTTCGTATGACCTGTTTCCAAGCAAGACCTTTACGGTCTAGTTATATGTTTATCGAGCATATTGATGTCGATTGTTGGGGTCAAAATCGGTACGACGGAATCAACGGCCGAAACTCCCAGCAGAAATATAAAAGGAATCGTTTTCTAAAACCCGAAGAATCGTTTTATAAAACTCGAGGATCGTTTTATAAAACTTGAGGACCGTTTTATAAAACTCGAGAATCGTTTTATAAAACTCGAGGACCGTTTTATAAAACCCGAAGAATCGTTTTATAAAACTCGAGAATCGTTTAAAACTCGAGAATCATTTTATAAAACTCGAAGATCGTTTTATAGAACTCGAGGGTCGTTTATAAAACTCGAGAGTCGTTTTATAAAACTCGAGGATCATTTTATAAAACTCGAGAAGCCGTTTTACAAAACTCGAAGATCGTTTTATAAAACTCGAGGATCGTTTTATAAAACTCGAGAAGCCGTTTTATAAAACTCGAAAAGCTGTTTAATAAAACTCGAAAGGCTGTTTTATAAAACTCGAAGATCGTTTTATAAAACTAGAAGAATCGTTTTATAAAACTCGAAGAATCGTTTTATAAAACTCGAGAATCGTTTAAAACTCGAGAATCATTTTATAAAACTCGAAGAATCGTTTTATAAAACCCGAAGAATCGTTTTATAAAACTCGAGAATCGTTTAAAACTCGAGAATCATTTTATAAAACTCGAAGATCGTTTTATAGAACTCGAGGGTCGTTTATAAAACTCGAGAATCGTTTTATAAAACTCGAGGATCATTTTATAAAACTCGAGAAGCCGTTTTACAAAACTCGAAGATCGTTTTATAAAACTCGAGGATCGTTTTATAAAACTCGAGAAGCCGTTTTATAAAACTCGAAAAGCTGTTTTATAAAACTCGAAGATCGTTTTATAAAACTCGAAGAATCGTTTTATAAAACTCGAAGAATCGTTTTATAAAACTCGAGAATCGTTTTATAAAACTTGAAGAATCGTTTTATAAAACTCGAGAAATATTTTATAAAACTCGAAGAATCGTTTTATAAAACCCGAAGAATCGTTTTGTAACCATTTGCTCGGATAAGGGACCCTATCTATGGTTGCGTCGCTCACATATTTGCTCTTCAAACAACAGGTAATTAATTAACCCTTTTATTACTACGATTACACTGCATATGAAACATACATACTAATTGAACTAAATTAACCACAACTTATGTAAATGACAGGTACGCTTTACTTTTTTTGTTCTTTTTCCTAAGTAATAAACTTCGGTTTCGTTTTGGAGTGATATATAATTCCAAACTCATGAAAACTCGTTTAGGTATGAACAATCTGCTTGTGTCAAATAATCTCGGTTGATAAATCCGAGAATTTGTCAGTTCCTCGAGTTTTCTTTGTTTGTAATCTTCTACTTTGAGTAGAAAGAACAAAAAGGCATGTTTGTCTGGTTAATTTACTATCAAACATTTTATAATAATGTACTGAGGAATTATATAAAATGATACGGTCGTCGACAAGTCCCATTGGAAAATATGGAGTTTTTGGCTGGTTTTCTGGAAATGGCCGGGGTACAAATTTTTGTCTTATTACGTATTATACCAATACATTTTTCACCATAAATCGTTTTCTTTCTTGTGAAAAAAACAATCATCATTTTTATATAGCTTAATGCATGCAATCCATGTAACAATTAACAAGGGGATGAATGTGTTTGATGCGTGTTATTTTTGTTATTTACTTTTTATGTTAGTAGTATTTTACATATTTTACCCTAACAACCTTAATTATCGAACATGCGTTTATTCCATTTATGATTGATAAGTTAATTAAGGTGAATATAAAGTTAATTTTTAAAAGTTTTAGGGAATACATAAAATCAACATTTTTTAAAATAACATAGTAACTACTTTGGGATAATTAGTATGTCACGTTAATCGTTTAGAAACATAAAAGAGGATCTTCAACTAAACATTTTGACCGTGTTATAGGTGGTGAATCTACAGGCACAAGTTTCTTACTTACAAGCCCATTTGGCATCCCTAGAACTACTTCAACCGCAAACGCGACCACCTCCTCTACCGCAACCACAACCGCTCTTCCTCACTCCTCCACCACCTTCCATAACAGATTTACCTGCATCAGTCTCACCATTACCTTCAACATACGACTTAGCTTCTACCTTTGATCAAGCAGCGTTGCCTTTGTCGTGGGCAACACAACAACGAAGATCCGGTGATCCACGTCATCAATACGGTGGATCATCATCAACTTCTTCCACAACCAGAGGGTTCGATTGTGGAAACAGTGACCTCGAAGCATTAGCACATGAGCTCTATTAGGTTGATATATAGTGATTCATTGTATAGGACACACGTGTACATAGATACTCTCGATATACTTGTATAAATACCCGATGACATTCTCATTAATGTTAAGAAATCAGTTTTAAGTTTGCTACTTTGTTCAAATTTTGTTATGGTATCAGAGCAAACGTAACTTCCTTCCGCGTTTATCTTTGACCTCACGAGTTAACTTGGCTTGACTCAGTTCTCATGAGTGCTCCGATTCGTCATCTGATTCTCCATCTGGTTTCTTCATTCATCTCCGATCTCGTTCACCTACTTTCGATCATCTCTTTCATCATCTTGTTTCCTCTATTCCTCCCATTTCTTGGTTAATCGAGCTTCGATTCGCATCAATGGCGTCGCCTCACCCTACGCAATCTCCCGTCGATCATTACAACAATCCATACTATCTTCACAATTCCGATCATGCTGGATTGGCTCTCGTCACGGATCGTCTTTCTTCTGGTGCGGATTTTCATGCTTGGCATCATTCCGTTCGTATGGCGCTTAATGTGCGTAACAAATTGGGCTTCATTGATGGTACGATTCTTAAGTCTTCTTCTGATCATCGCGATTTGGGTGTGTGGTTAAGATGTAACGATATGGTCTCCACATGGTTGATTAACTCTGTTTCTAAAAAGATTGGCCAAAGCTTGTTGTTTATGTCCACTGCTGAGATGATTTGGAAGAATTTAATGACTAGGTTTAAGCAAGAAGATGCTCCTAGAATCTTTGAAATTGAACAGCGTCTCAGTAATATGCAGAAAGGATCTTTGGATATCAGTACCTATTATACTGAACTTGTTACCTTGTGGGAAGAGCATCAAAACTATGTGGATCTACCTATCTGTACTTGCGGAAAATGTGAATGCAATGCTGCAGCTTCATGGGAAAAGCTTCAACAGACGAGTCGTGTTACCAAGTTCTTAATGGGGCTAAATGAATCTTTTGATGCTACACGTCGTCACATCTTGATCCTTAAGCCTATACCATCAATGGAGGAGGTGTTTAATATGGTTGCACAGGATGAGAGACAGAAGAATATCAAGTTACCCACGAAGATTGATTATGTGGTCTTTCAGAGCTCTGTTTCTCCACATGATAACACTGGATTAGCTGATAATTCAGCCTATGCTACTGTAGCTTATCGTTCCAAACAACATCCTGTGTGTACTCATTGTGGGATGGCTGGTCACATTGTGCAGAAATGCTTTAAGCTCCATGGATATCCCCCTGGTCACCGTCTTTACAATGCATCTACTGCTTCGCGTTCTGGTCAGATAGCTGCTAATAAAGGCTTGCCATCTTCTCAGTCTTCTGTGACTTCGAAAGGGAACACTGTGGCAAATGTGACTAGTGGAGCGTCTAGTGATCTCAGTCAACTCACAAAGGAACAAGTTAATTACTTGCTTCAACAGTTACATTCTCATGTGAATTTGTCTGAGTCTACTGTCAACTTTGCATCTACATCTGCTTCTATCACTGAACATGGTGTCATGGCTGCTGAATCATCTTGTGGTACTGTCCCATTCCCCTCTTCCAACTTACGTTTTGAGAATAATGCTTTGACTTTTCATCATCATACTCTTACTTCTTTATCCAAAACTATTCCTTCTGGTACTTGGATTATAGACAGTGGAGCGACTACTCATGTTTGCTCGGATCTTTCACTGTTTCGTAGTACCACTTATGTTGTTGGAGTAACAGTCAAATTACCAAATGGCACTAGGGAAAGTATTACTCATGTAGGCATTGTGCATATTTCTGATTCTTTGGTTCCTCATGATGTTTTACATGTTCCATCTTTTCAGTTTAATCTCCTTAGTGTTAGTAGTTTGCTTCAAAGAGATATATGTTCTGCTCACTTTTATGCTGATTCTTGTTTTCTTCAGGACCGTACTCAGGCCTTGATGATTGGTAAAGGATTTCTTCGGCAAAATCTTTATGTTTTGGATATTGGTGTTTCTCCTACTTCTATTGCTGTCTCTGCATCTTCTAATGCTTTTTGTGGTTCCTTGCGTGTTGATGAAGACCTATGGCATCATCGCCTAGGCCATTCATCACAAGCCAAGTTGCAGCCTTTGTCAAGTCAGTTGTCTTTGCCTAAGTCTACTACGTCTACTTCATCACATTGTCCTATATGTCCTCTTGCTAAGCAGAAAAGATTACCTTATGTTTCGAATAATAATCTTTCTGATTCTCCTTTTGATCTTATTCACATAGATGTTTGGGGACCCTTTTCTGTAGAATCTGTTGAGGGATATAGATACTTTCTTACCTTGGTTGATGATTGTACTCGTGTAACTTGGATTTATATGTTGCGTAATAAAAGTGATGTTTCTGAAATTTTTCCAGCTTTTATTACACATATTCGTACTCAATATCACACTACTATCAAATTCATACGTTCTGATATAGCATCTGAGTTGATGTTTCCCTCTGCTATAAGACAATATGGCATTCACCATCAATTCTCTTGTGCTCATACTCCACAACAAAACTCTGTTGTTGAAAGGAAGCATCAACATCTCCTCAATGTAGCTCGTTCTCTGTTATTTCAATCAAATTTGCCTTTGGTATACTGGAGTAATTGTGTTCAAACTGCAGTGTTACCAGCATTATATTCTTTCTTCTTCCATTGAGGCAGTACCTAATACTTTTAAGCAAGCCATGGAATCAGACATATGGAAGCAGGCTGTGAATGTGGAGTTTGATGGTATGAAACGCAACAAGACATGGACAGTTCAGACTTTACCTCCTGGTAAAAATGTTGTTGGATGTCGTTGGTTATTCTCTTATAAGTATAATTCTGATGGTACTATTGAGAGACCTAAAGGACGACTTGTTGCTCAAGGATATACACAACAGGAAGGTGTTGATTACACTGATACTTTCTCACCTGTTGCGAAGATGACCAGTGTGAAGTTATTACTGGCTTTAGCTGCTAAGTGTGGTTGGTCATTGTCTCAGATGGACGTGACTAATGCGTTTTTGCATAGTGACCTTGATGAGGAGATCTACATGCATCTGCCTTTGGGTTATACTCCTCGACCTGATGAAGTATTACCTCCGGATCCAGTTTGTAGACTGCAAAAATCTATCTACAGACTCAAACAGGCATCCAGACAATGGTATTCATGTTTTTCTTCTGTGATCTTAAACATGGGTTTCAACTATCTCCTGGTGATAACTCATTGTTTATGAAGATCACTGGTTCTTCTTTCACTGCCCTTCTCGTGTATGTAGACGATATCTTGAATGCAAGTAATGATGAGACTGCAGTTGCTAGTTTGAAGGCGGTTCTTCATAGTGCTTACAATATCAAAGATTTGGGTACATCAAAATTCTTTTTGGGACTAGAGATTGCTCGGAACTCTACTGGTATCTCTGTTTCTCAAAGAAAGTATGCCTTAGATATTTTGGCTGACACAGGATTTCTTGCTTCCAAGCCGTGTGCTTTTCCTTTGGATCCTAATGTTCAGTCGACAGCCACTGGGGGTACTCCTTTGCCAACGTCTACATCATATCAAGAACTTATAGGACGCTTGTTATATCTGACTATTACACGTCCAGATATCACTTTTGCTGTTCACCGTCTCAGTCAATTCTTATCTGCTCCAACTGATACTCATCTCAAGGCAGCTCATCATGTTCTTCGGTATTTGAAATCTAATCCTGGTCAAGGATTATTCTATGCTGCTGACTCGGACATTTGCCTCAATGCCTTTGCAGATGCTGATTGGGCTACGTGTTCTGATACTCGTCGTTCTGTGACTGGTTTTTGTGTTTATCTTGGTCATTCTTTGATTAGTTGGAAGTCCAAGAAACAACACACAGTGAGCAGGAGTAGCACAGAGGCAGAGTATCGTAGTATGGCTTTGACGACTCGTGAGATGCTTTGGCTGCAGCAGTTGCTTAATCATCTGAAGGTTAAGATTACTGCTCCTGCAAAGCTCTTTTGTGACAATAAATCCGCGATGCATATCGCTTCTAACCCTGTTTTCCATGAGAGTACAAAGCATATTGACATTGACTGTCATACAGTGAGGGATCAGGTTAAGCGTGGCTTCATAGTTCTTCATCATGTTGCTAGTTCTCTGCAGCATGCTGACATCCTTACGAAAGCTTTACATCCCGGTCCATTTCACTCTTTACTCAACTGTATGTCCGTTTCAAGCCTTTCTCTCCAACAGATAGTTTGGTTTCAAAGGCTTGAGGGGGGTGTATTAGATTGATATATAGTGATTCACTGTATAGGATACATGTGTACATAGATACTCTCGATATAATTTTATAAATACCTGATCTACATTCTCAATTAATGCTAAGAAATCAGTTTTAAGTTTGTTACTTTGTTCAAAGTTTGTTAAGCTCCTACATAGACAAGGATCTCCTCCCCCAACAGCTACCGATGACTCACCGTCTCGGTGTATGTCTAGATGAGTTTGGCTTAGATCGATATATCTCCCTTCATCGTTATTACGAAAACTATATTACTACTCAATAGATTTAGTTTTATCAGAATATTGTAGGGACTTTTATAACATTTATCTATAAACTATAGTATTGTATTTTCCTTTCTTTGCCTTATTTTGTTTAGCTATAGTGCGAAATATACTCGTATATATATATATATTTAATCAGTTACCCTATATTACACCATCTTCATAAGTCTGAATGGGAGGTGTAATAAGAGGATTCTGCGCTTATTGATGTCTGTAACGAGTTTACTCGTCCATGTCATCTTATATATTATTGGGCGTCGATTCTGGGCCTATGCTTAAGCAATTTTAGTTTTCTAACACTCTCATAATGGATTTGATGAACTTACTGAGACTGGCCGTAATACTTAGTTGTTATGGTTTTAGTAGGGCTGGACACAAAAACTTGATACTCGGCTTGTACTCACTACTTGACTCAGTTCGGTTTAAAAAAACAAGTACTTGTTACAATCAAGTCGAGTAGCAAGTAAACCAATTTTATTACTCGCAAGT